ATATTTCGATTTGACGCATATTAGCAGCATGTTCTTGATGAATATAATATGCACATTATTGGTATAAAATCTTCAACAAACACTTCTCAAACATATTTTTAATTTCTAAAAGTAGTACTCAAAACCAAACCGAATAAATAATAATTTTTGAACAATTACGAATTATTAAGAGACGTAGTACAAAACACGGTTAGTATTGATACAACAATTATCTTTTATTAAACTACCCTATAATTAAATTAAATGTCATGATTTTTGCTCATTATCGTACTATGTCCTCAACTTCAATCGTTGCACTCTTATCGCATCTTGTCTCTAATCATATCTTTCGTTAAGATGGTGTAAAAAGATTTATTTGTATCTCATGTTTTTAAATAAGTAAATAAATAAATAAATATAAAAGTGTGATTAAATATATTTCCCTCATTTCAAAGCAAAATTTAAGTGTGACAATAGACATTTAACACAATTTTTTTCTTTTCTTTTTATGGCGTGACAAAAATCGTGAACATGGATGAACATGTTATTGATATACAAGTATGAAGAGTTAGATATGAATTGTGATATGTCTCGATGTATGGTTCGTTTAGTTGACATTTATCGTTGCTTGAACAAAGGGTTTATTTACAACTACAAAGCCCTACATTGAACAAACTAACAGAGAAAAAAATAAGTAGGAAGAAAACATTTTTTATAAATAGTGAAGTAAATTAACGTCAGCCCCACAGCACAAGCCAGCAGTTCTCTGTTCTCCTCTTCTTCCTCCCCTCGACGACTTCCCAGTACACGCGCCACTTCGCCAGGTACCCTTTACCCCTCTCTCTCTCTCTCACACACACACACACACACACACCATAAACAGTGGATCAGCGTGAGTGCTTTCTGCTTGGAATTTTTCTTTTTAATTTTTTTAAAAGAAAATTAGAACAGCCCACTCGAACTCTCAATTGCTAATCCGCTAATCGGTCCTTATTCCTAAATCAAATTCTTTACGTTCTCCTCTCTATTATTGTTAATGTGGGGGGTAAATAATCAACTAATTATCTTTAGTCCGAAGAATTTGTGTT